ACGACCCCGTTTTATTAACATTTTGGTAAATCTCTAAGATATCCTTAATGATTTTTTAGTCGTGTTTTGTTTTTGGGCATAGCACCCAGAATCAAAGTCACTTTGACGCTTGACATATATTTATAAAGAAGGGTGTCCAACATGTTCTTTACACCTTTCTTGTAAGAAACCAGAACGTTAATTCAGTTTGTTAATATGGCTGGTGTAAAAAAAATATTTGTGAAATTGTCAGCTTATATCAGAGGTATATCCTGATTCTGATTCCACTCCGTAAGTACTTAATGTTTAAATACAACCAAAAAACCCACACCAATGGAAAAACAAAAGTGGACATATGACAAATATGGTAAAAAAAGGACGACAAAACCGGAAAACATCATGAACTTTCACCAAAACTAAAGGTGAGGTCAGGAGCTCCGGCAGGTATGCTTCACTGTTGCGTCTTTTCTCAATGTGGTACCTCTACATTGCTTTGTCAGATATTGACCTAACATCTAATTGTTTGTTTTTGTTTTTCCGCTTTCTTTTTACACAACCACAAACAAGTTTGACAGCAATATAGGAACCATCTTGTCTGTCAGTTGGTCTATCTTTCTGAAAGAAATTCAGAACACGATAGTAAAGGAAAGACAACCATTTTCAAACCTCAAACAGCTTAGATGTTCCGACGGATCGTGGTATGCAGCACGCTTCAATTACGCATGCGTGAGCCATAGGTATAGACCATTATCTAATCATTGTGTGGTATTTTTAGATCTAATCATTGTGTGGTACTTTTAGATCTAATCATTGTGTGGTACTTTTAGATCTAATCATTGTGTGGTACTTTTAGAAGTCCGTGTCAAAAACAATTGTTATTTAAAATCAAATAACCGACCTACCAACCCTATAGTTTATGCAGAAACTGGAAACACAGATGTTCGGATATTTCTTTATCAAGAGATCTCTCTCCTATATGAGATATCTGTTTGAGGTTGGTTAGTGGAAAACCCTGAAATAACCTATACTTGTGGAACGAACATTTCGATTATAACTGTATAGTGAATATCATTACTACACTTTGCATCATTACCTAGTGCTAGAAGGACGAAACAGCTGTATGATGCAGTTTAACGATTGTTTCACAATATCTAATACTAAATCGACTCGAGTGTTTTTGTACAATTGCCAACTACTTAAACTTTTAAACATCCTACGTGTAACCATACACATACATTAACCCAAGACAAAATATCTTTATTCATCTCAGACACACAACGTGTGCAACAAGAGTTCAATACAATCTTTGCATAAATCTAAATTTCAGGAGCATGACAAGCAAAAGTATTATATAAGGCTAGAAATATTACATCATTACTAACTTAATATCATGAACTCGTACTTATTGAATACATTGATGTCACTAATTACCATGCATTAAATATGCAATAAGTATAGATACTTATAATAGTGTCACTAATTAACAACATATTAAATGATACCAACGATAACATAACATATCAGATATTTTTTGTACAAATTGACTTATATTTACTAATAGCTTTTCATTTAAAATTTTAAACATACTTTTCATTTTATTATTTGTTCTCGTGTAAAAATGCTATAGAATAAATTTACGTTTTAATTGTACTACTTAAACACTATTAACTAAAGCACTATTAACACTAAACATTAAACACTATTAAAGACAAATAAATAATGATATTCATCTCCAATACCCACAGTACACAATGGACATATTCTATCTTACCGTTGGATCCCGACCCATCTTCCTGTTTCCATCGGAAATTTGATATTGGCCGTTTTAAATTTACATATTATCTTCCTTTCATATCCGTTTAGTCGTTTTTAAACAAAAATCTTCTAAACCAAATTGGGTTTTTAAGATAGAATACATTTGCCCTCGTGATGATGTTTCAAACGAGTTACCCCAAGTCTGATTAAATTGGTCGTGTAATTTATGCTTAATTGTATCATTTAAATGATTAATATCAGGTAATCATGTTTTCTGATACATCCAAACAAAACTTAATCCAACACTCCTTAATATATTTAAACATAATTAATCCACTTAAACTCGATTTGTCCAGATCCATGAAGGTTATTCACCAAATGTATATTTGGCTAGGCAGCTCATTTCCATTTTGAATAAGATTATGTCAAAACCTAATCATTCTTAACTTAATGTTAACTTCAATCGAGTATCTTCCTGTTTCACCATATATCATATAATTTGAGGTATTTTTCCGTAATCCAAGTATTCGTTTGCAAAACTGAAGGTGAATTGTTTCCATATGACTTACATTCTCAAATCTCCATATTTCACTAAAGTCTAACAAGATAAGATCAACTAAGGAATCAAATCATTTAAACTGAAGATCAATAGGTAATTTTAGGTTTCTAATTTTTCGGCTCACTGCAAAAAGATTTTATTTTTAGTAAGGGGGTGGGGGTGGGGGGGGGGGGGGGGGGTCGGTGATCGGACAAATGCTTATATCAAAGCTTCCATTGTAAGCTATCTTTTCGTCTTTTCATTTTCCCACTTACAGCCAGTTAGGACATTAAACACTAATCTATAGTGAACAACTGAAATAGAAGAATCAAAATCAAGAACTTCATAGTGATTCAACGTAGGAAAAACAATTTGTAGAGACAATCCACTAGGCTGACATTTTTATATGCATTCATTCCTATAAACTTGTCGATTCCTACTTTGCCGTTAGTAATATATAAATTATTATTCTTTCAAAACTTCAGCAACTTTACACCAAATGAACCTGGCCTGACCAGGGGTTGACTGGTCCTTTGTAATGGAATTCCTGGTCACGATAAAACTTCATAATCACATAACTAATTATGTAACTCGTCAATCTCACTTTTGTCAGACGCATTAATTAACTGATGATCTGGAGGTATACAATCATTGCAACAATGAGTTCTAGCATTAAAATCTCCAATAAGGATAATTTTGCCCGTTTCTAATCAACGCAATCATTTCATTTTCAATCTCAACAAAGCTTCATTAGAAGCGTATTTTGACGTTGGCACATACGCTCAACATAATTTAGCGTAGTAGAAGCCTTCTTACATGAAGTAATCTCTACCATTGAACCAACTCTGATGAAGTTTGTGGAAATACATGTGAAGGTTAATGTTTGTCTTTATAGATAAAAACTACTTCACCTGATTTACGTTTTACAATTGGTCTAATGTTTTACAATTGGTCTTTTCTTAACTGCATATTTATACATCCAGCAGGTAGTTCAAGTATGTCGAATTCATCGGTTTTGGTTTCAACTAGGATACTGACGTCATGAGACTTAATGATGTTAACAAATTCTGGTATTAGTAATTTGGCTCAGATTCCACAAACTTTTAAGAAATTGAACTTTATCAAGTCGCGAGTTACTTAATCTCTTACTGCGTTGGCCAAGGAGGTGATAGTCCACGGATAGTAATACTAGCGGAGGTGTAAATAGCTGACGGGGTGTCACAAAATACACAAAGATACTCGTAAATCGTCACATTTATATCTTTCTAAAGGGGTCTTCAGCGTACTGCCGGTCGAATGAATTAACGGGGTATTTTTAAATATATGTATATCATTTTTCTCCGCTATAGTGTGTAACTTTGTCTTTGTATCATATGTCGTGTATCTGATCTAAATCGTACCGTATTTTGTTTCCATGGCCACGCGAGGTTATTATGTTAATACAACCATCTGCAACGTTACACCCCCGACATAACCCAACGTTGCAGCTGCACAGGTATAAATAATTCAATGATCACTTTAAATGGATGATATAGTAACGCGAACACTATTTCATGAATATTGAAATGATTGAGTGACGAATTTTTTTCCTTTTTTAAATTTTCAACTCGTCATTATTATAGCTTTTGGAAATGCATATTCATAACACAAACACAAATCAGTTAATCTTACATTTAAAGAAAACGACTGACGAGCAAAACAGGGTTTAAGTATCAAGCAACTGTTTCCATTTATTCTATTCACTATCTAACTTCCTAATACATTCAACACGTGTATAAATCATCCTAGCATCACAATCTTTAATCAAGTCGTTTACAATCGGAACACCTTAATTAAACCACTCCTTATAAAAAAGGGAGCTTGTTTCATGTCTTAAAGTGTTTGTTATGCTAAATACGTGTTTTCAATGTCATCCTGCTTGTCCCTCAAATTAATTTCTTTGATTGCCAAATTCTTCCATGTTGGAGTCTTCCTAAAACAAATTTTAAACTGTCTGTTGAAAACTGGAAATATCTTCAGGCCCAGACCTGATCGTAATATCTTGGTGTTGGTCAGTATTGAGTTAAATGACCCACTGCATGTAAGTTTAAAAGCATAGTGTAGTATCATATTCGTGTTTCTACCATTAATTGTTCATTATAAATTTGCTGAATTAAAATAAAAAGCTGTCTTCAAGTGATATGTAGCGAATATCTTGGATGAGACAGAGTTGACGAACTAGAAAATCACAAAAACATTTACATTAACAAATAATATGCTGAAAAGATTACTGTCCTACCTTACATGTATAACGCGCCCGGTACAACAGGAAGGGGGGTAACTCTGTAAACCTTACTTAAACTCTCGAAAATTCAAATATTCAAATAATCTTCTTTGACTTTTGACAACACTGCATGGATTCTTTGTGTCATTTTAAGATATTAGGATTGCATTTATATTGCGGTTATGCAAACGGTACTGTTCAGTAAATCAGTGTTAAATTACTGTAGAACCTGGACTTGGCATCTTTGCATAATTTTTTTTATCACCAACCAAGATACACAATGTATTAATCATAATTATAATCATAGTTTTACCAGAGAGCTATAGATTTGGGTGTCTAGAGTTCGTTGTTATGTATCCAGCCAACTTAGTCTTTTTCGTTTCGCTATTTTCTTACAATCTCCCGCCTTTTTATAAAATTATCACGTGACACTTTTGTTATGATCCTTCAAGAAAAGCATTCGATATGGATTCGCAGGTAAAAACATATGTAGAAGACAAAAAACACCATGACACATACAAAATGATGTTCACCTTGAAGACCACATGTTTTTTCTGCATAAATGTGAATTTATTTTGAACGTATTTTAAACCGAGAGTCGGAAACAGGTATTTGTATCCTCAGTCCAAAGAACAAAACCGTCGCTGTCCATTAATATGATATAGTTCACAGCAGCTGTATTCTTTTTATTTGCTTGTAAAATATTCTTAGTTAACACAATGTCTAACTCCAACTCCCGGAACTCCTTCATTACAGAATTATTGCCCTTTTGTTATTTTTTGTGTTCAATGAAGTTGATAACGGTGAGCATTCATCATTTCATCGATACTCCGCCACCGGTTTTCAACCAATCTTTTTCAAACTTTGTACTAAACCCTGGCTTAGCTAGGACTTGAAGAGTTACTCCTCTTGTTGTGTCCATAAGTTTAGTCTTGTGTGAAGATCATCTCTTTCAGTTTTCGATGGATTTCTTTCAGACTTAGAAGGCTTATCATTAAAACCCAGTAATCACCATGACAAAGTAAAGAAAGCTAACTCCATGTTTGCACTTCAAAGAAGGACATTTCAGTTTATGGATCAACAATCTTTTATCTCATTGTATAAATGCTATGCAAGCTCAGTTTGGGCACAACAACAGATGAAGCATGTTGATAAAATTGAGTGAGTTCAAAGAAGAGCAACCAAATGCCTACCTGGCAAAATCTTACCTATAGCCAGAGATTGGAAAAGCTGAACCTACCAACTTTAGCCTGCAGGAGAGTCTGGGGAGAAATGATTGAACTTCATAAAATCCCCAATGGAATGTATGACCAGGAATGCTGCAACTCTGTCCAACTATGGGCTGAGGCCACTCAACGAAACAGTTGGCAGATCCAACTCGATAACAATTTTTCCAATATGAGCTTAAACTAGACTACGAAAAACTTTTTTTCCATAAGATCAGCATCGATTTGGAACAAATTACAAGGCCATATTGTTACTGCAAAAAGTCAATAGGTTTAAAAATGATTTAAACTGGAAGAACAAAGAACTTTTCTTCAACTACAGAGCTGAAATAACTTAACTATTGAATTAACTGTATAAGAAAAATTGTTTCATGAGAGACATACATAATTTATTTATCTATTATAGAATCTTGAAACTTAACATGCATTATTGAGTCTGGTAAAGAGGACTCTTCACGTCCTGAACTGGAGATAAACTCATCTTATCTGAAGTGGTGTTTCCTACACAGGAGATTGATTCAAGGAGTCCTGTGCGTTTTTTAACATTTCTATTTTGTATGGAGATCTTCTTCCCCAGTTTTTCACCAATGGCTCTGAGATTTGGAAAGCTTTATAACCATTACATGAAATGGTGTTTTCCCGACTGTCATTGTGATTTTGAAAGAGTTATTGCACCTTTTTTAAACATTTTTATCTTGTCCAGATATTACCTCCCACAGTTTTTAACCAATTTCTTTGAAACTTTGAAGACTTGCAAACAACACAAATTTGATTCAATGATATTTCCAAAAGTAATTGCCCTTTGTTCTTTTAAGCATTTTAATCTTGTCCAGAGATTTCTTTCAGTTTTCCACCCACTTTGTATGCATATTAGGATTTTTTTTGTATTTATTTTCAATACCAATTAAACAAATCCTGAATATTATTCTACCACACAATACTCATGTTTATTATTCAAAATGATTGTTTCAAGTGGAAAAGAAAACTGCAGTAATGGTCGTTTGATGTGAAAAGAAGCAGGGATATTCAAATTTTCTTTTTGTAAGATAGCAAACCCTTGGAATGATTATTCAACTAATCATGACTGTTATATTCTGCTTTCCAGGCTAAAGGTGTTAAAGTAGAGTCATCCATGACTGGTTCAATACACACTATAGAAGATTTTGTGATGAGAATTGTCAAGCATTTGAAGGATCTTGATTACCAGTCCCTACTATATGTACAAGAAACCCTTCAAAAAATGAAGAACAGTGTAAAATCTAAACATGAACTCAATTACTGGAAAGTGTTACAATGTCTTGGAGAACTCTCCATTGACCGTTTTGTAAGAACTCTTGTACTTAATGAGAGAGCCTCGTGCAAGTGCCATACATATTCAAATCTATTCTGTCTTATGCAGCTGTTTGTCCAGATGCAAGTCAGTGTTGCTGTGATCAAAAGGCTGCTGTGGTATAAAGAACAATTGATTCCGGTCTTCTTGAAGGCTCTGAGACAAAAAGAAGATCCAGCTCTGGTTAGAGAAAGCCTCATGGGAATGTATCGCCTGCTGATAGTTGGAAGAGGAGAACTAGTAGAAATCTTCATGAATAACCAATTACTTATGGATTTGCATGCTCAAATCAAATGTCGTTTTTCCAGTATTGGAATCCATTCATTTCAAACTGTTACTTACTGTTCAGAATTAATGCATGCAATGGCTGTTCATGGAACTCCAAAGACACGACGAATTCTCAAGAATTCTCCAGCTCTCAGGATAATGAAAGACTATTGTAAAAAGCTTCAGATGATGAAAAATGAGTTACCTAACAGGTACAAAGTGTTAGACAACTATGAGTTTATAAATGATATCGTTACAGATGAATACAAGGCAGAGAAAATGGCCCAGATCTGGAAACCAAAAGAGAAATTGAAGGAAGAATTTGAAAAGGGTATTGAATATGCCAATTATATGGTTTTCTGTTCTTCCCCGGCTTGCCGTAAACAATACATAGATGGGATGGCACATTTTAGATATTGTGGTGCTTGTAGACTTTCAAGATACTGCAGTGAATCATGTCAGAAAGATCACTGGAGGAAGAGCCACAAGACTAGCTGTCTTCAAAATCCTGAAGAAGAACCATTTTGATTTTATCTTTATAATGAAAATATCTGTGTGATAGAAAGACTATTGTTCTGATATGCCAAGACGTATGTTGTGTAGATATAGCCTCAAAAAACCAGGTGTAGTGATTTTGTTTAATTTAGATATGTGCTTTTATTTCATTTTTTAGTTATCTAAATATCTGCAAGATTACCGCAGTATGTGTTTTAAGTATGATTCTGTATCCATGTACTAATTATGTAGGTAATTTCTGCAAAGTTGAATATAATTTCTGTTTATACCTGCTATTATGTTTTCTGTTGATATATCCATCAAGACCTGTTCACATTATTTGTATGGACCCACAAACTTTCATTGTGTGATGTATATATTATACTATTCAGATAACACTAATATGAAGTATTTTCAAAGGTGAAGTCTTAACTGTGCTACAGTGAAGAACTACTAGTGTCTAAACACCAATATATATTTTTCACTCATTGTTTTTGTTCATTGATCCTATGCTTTTGATCAGTTTTTATATCCTTGAAGACATTTTGATATGTCGGGTATGATGATGTTTTAATTTATATTTTTTCTTTATGACCTTATTTCCCTTTTTTACTCTGTTGACTACTGATTTCTCTTGTTAACTGCTAGTCACTCATTTTGTTTTTAATGACCTTTTTAAAACCTTGTAAGATTTATTATTGTGATGTTCTTGTGTTTTTGTATTACAACAGTTTCATTCATCAATTTGTAACAGAATTTTTCTCTGTACCTTTTTGTGGCATTTTTTCATTGTCAGTTTTGCCTTCTCCCATTTTTTTATTGGTCTTTTTCAGGTCCTGTTAATATTCACACTTGTAACATGTTGGAAACATCACATTTTGGGACAGTATTTTTCCACACAGCCATGCTCATATTTCCAGATCCTTCTCAGGTCATTCAGGGTGTAGTACATAAAATGTGCCCCGATTAATAGATTTACTTAATTTTACATGTAGTTAACAATTGCTTGAAGGAATTAAGAATAACTGGTCCCTATGCCTTCACTTCAAATATTTTGATATAATAAAATAGTGATTTTGATCAATGAATAAAGGGTGTATATTCTAAATTGGTCTTGCTTTTTAAAACATAATTCAACAATACAGTTTGAATTCATGACAAATGTCTTGAATGTTAAATAGTCCCACACTTTCAATTATGCCTTTTGTTATTTTGTGTATGTACGATTAGTTATGAATAAACATTTTTTCTTTTTTTTTTTCACCCATTGGTATTCACTCCAAAATGTGATTTGGAATTACTGGAATAAACACCATGTTTGTGAAGGTTTTGACTTTCTTGTGAATTTGAATTAAATTATATTTTTCTACAATATGTGGTATTTGGTCTTTTAATCAATTTCGTAACAAGAAATACATTAAAGGATTCCAATATACTTGTTGAAATATTCAAGTAATTCATGTCATTGGTTCAGTTTTTGTGCATTTGTCACCATTCTAAAGATACAGTGGACAAGTTCACAAACCGAGGTTGACATGTCAATGTGAAGCTCACTTTGTCCTCATTGTGATTTTCTTTCAATCGTCACCAAATTAGAGCATACCCAAATAAGTACAATGGTCGATATCTCAATGTCGTATTAATAAATCAGTAAATGACATCTTGTCCTTGGTTATCCAAGGGCGGTTTTCAGCTCCCCAGTCATGGTATGGCACATCATCTGTTGTCAACTACTTGTCATGATAGGTGGATATGTCCAAATTTGGTCTGAAGCAATCTTTGTGAAAGGGGAACCAATAGTGTATAAACAGTGGGTACAGACCTCATGAGACTGGGCTCAATTGGAGAAAAATTGCATATTCAAAGTTCTATCCAAATTTGGTCAGAAGCATCTTTACCCGACAGAAATTAATTTTTGTAAAAAAAAAACGTTGGATCCAACCCCTATTGGCCTCTTGGGTTAGAGCCAGGACCAAGAATCGAAGGATAAACGAATGAAAAGCTTTGAAATCAACCCAAGATGCTTTGAAATCAACCCAAGTAGGAGAAATATATGAGATGAATTAAAAAAATTAGTTGATGTGACAAAATCCAAGATTGATGGCCATATCCACCTTGCAAGCTTATTTTTTACAAATTTTCAGGCACCGATGAAAATTTACATTTTGAACATAAAACCTGGTGAACACCTTGGGTAGTAATGTTAGCAAAAAGTTTCATCAATATCAAAGTTTTTTACCGATACCTGTACCTGCAAAAGTCAATATCAGGATACTAGTATTTGTTCTCGGACTCGGGTCAAATTTTATTTGGTAATTTTAATGAAAATTAAATGCTTCCATTTTCAATGGGCACCAGTGAGAGGTCAAATGATCATATCAATTGCTTTTATGTCTTTTGCAACAAAAAAAAGTGACAAATACTTTCATATGCCTTGTCTGCCATCACCATGAAATTGCCAAGATAAAAAGTATTGGATGTTTTATCATTGATTAGTTTTCAACACTTTTTTCTTTGATGGACAGAGATACAGGACTGAAATTCATGAAAGGATGCAGATCCATAATTTATCAGCATCCTAATTTTGGATACAGTATTGTTTATATTTCTAATGTTTCTGTATTGTTTGATCAAAAACAGCTTTTAATAAACTACGGTCACCCGCCTTGGTCATTCAAATATATTTCTGATGCAGTGTGAAAAGTCACAAGTTCACCAATCAAAAATCCAAGTTGCTCTAACTCATCAGTTTCATAGCTTAATAGATTTCTTTTACCTATATACTGTGTTTATAAAGAGCATGTACATGTTATCAAAGAAAAACTCAATTGCATTTGTGAATATACTTTTATTTTCTGTATCATGAATCATTTGAAAATCACAAAATAAAACAAATACTGTTAATCACACGTGTGCAATTTGAAAATTCACCCAAAATTAATTGCAAGAATATCAATTATGACATAACATACCAAATAAAAGAAATGCAGAAATTTTGTAAATAGGATGTCACACTATATACTTTGTACTACTTCTGATTGAAGAATTTTGAACTAAGAAAAGTATTTATTCTAAGTCCTAGAATGGAAAATAAATATGTTTTCTTTTCTTTTTCAGTGTAGTAAAATGTTAATAAATGCTATAAAGTGACAACTCATGAATACTGTCATTAATATGTAATGACAGTATTTATAAACATGATCTAGTATGTGCTGACATTTGATTGGTTTATATTATTGTGATGGGTTTATTCATTTCAATTTGGAGACATAATATACTTCCCTTTGTACACAAATGGAAGGCATTATAATCATTCTTGTGCACATGAAAGTGAAATATGTTAAATATACTCAAAATTAATTAGAAAGTTTCAAAAAACTGAATTAAATTATTCAGGACAGTGAACAGATCTTCAGCACTACCACTATGTGTATATAAACATTAGCACATTTTGAAGCTGGATTCTCAATATAGTGCTCTTGTAATAATGTAATAAAATAAACTCTGTCGCCACTCCTATGAGGCGCTGCTTAACCATCTCAGAGGCATAAAATCTGTCGATCACTTTCCTGGTTGATACGTTTGTTATTCAAATCATAAGATACATACACCAATTTTGCATAACGTACATGCTATATAAAAGCACAATATACTTGACATTATCTCTTGAGTAGATTAAATCCTGTTGGCCAGATTGACTGCTATAATAGGGTGCACACATCAAATGGCATTCTTTGAACAACATCTCCTAACATGCCATAATGGCATCCTGCAGTTTCTTAGCCACACTTTCCCAGTTAACAACATTCCAAATAGCCTTTACATAATCTGGGCGGACATTTTTATATTGTAGGTAGTAAGCATGCTCCCAGACATCAATGCCAAACAGAGGGACCAGTCCTGTAACACAGAAATGCACGTCAATTGTAATTTTACCTACTATCATTGAGGATATTGCTTGTACAAAATATTCTTTGTTGATTGTATTATCTGGTAATAAAGGCCTCCTCACCCACATCTAATGTAAAACTGCTTATTGTTTGAGTTAAAAGCCTCTTCTCTGTTGAGAGAAAGTCTGGTACAACAGAAATCATCATCTGCTACAAGGAGTTGACCATTGAAATATTGTATAAGCAATTAACATCCTGTCAGACCTCAATATTTTACTTTACATTGCTATAATGAAATTAATAATTGTTATGAAAAAACTGACAAGGGAAATAACTGATCCAGAATACTGTAAAGATTATTATTTTCAAGGTGTTTCATGGACAGTATAAAACTGCAAAAAATGATACCTTGAAAACAAGATTAACTTAAAGTAAGCCATTAAAGTATTTTTCTTTGGTTGTCTGGTGGCACAGTGGTAATGCACTCTTAATTTCACATTAGGTTATATTCCTAGGACAGATGTGAGGTAAGGGTTCACCTCCCAAACCATACGTGTTTTCCCCCAGGTACTTCTGTTTTCTTCCACAGTAAGACCCCATATAGCACATATTAGATTGAAAAACTTTTTTTGTAATTGTTGTAAAAATAATTCTTGTGTATAACTTTAAATGAAAATCTAAAAAAAACTTGATCAATTGAAAATATCTTTTGTAGAAGGAGATGCCAGAAGAATCTTGGTGCCCATCAGATTATTTCCATCTTTTTTCAATCCATTCAATAATAGATGTTGCACTTCTAATGATCAAGGGGAACCTACAGATATTGTTTCAGGGAAGACTGACAAAGGAAGATTTGAAAAACCCATCATCTGATGAATAAGGATTTAAATAAGAGGTCCAAAGGGCCTGTATTGCTCACCTGGATACTTAAGTCATTATTGCAAAACTGTACATTTCTTTAGAACGACCATGTTTCTGATGATGAGCCTCACCACACAGATAGTTTTAAATTCCCTAGGGATGGGGACTGAGATCAGCTGTTAATCTCTTGATGTCAAGCAATGCTATTAAGTTATGGGACGGTAATCTCAATGGCTTCAAAGACATAATCTGTCCTGGGGTGGGACCAAAACAGAGGACAAATTATCAGTTATGATTGTGTTTATCTCCCCATGCTCAACAATTCTGAAGTAATTCAGTGGTGGTCACAAACTGTTTCAAAGATTCATAGATCTACATGAATTGTTGATGGTGCAAAGCAATATTATGAAAATAGGATGCTTCAGACCAAATTTTATTAAAATCTGCTCAGTCATTCATGGAAAGTTGGAATACATTTGTATATAGTAAAACTTGACAGACAACCAACAGACGCTGCAGTATCCCTATGGCTCACTTTGCCTTTAAAACTGTTTGGATGTCTATATTTAAAGAAGAAAAGTAGAACTCTTCGTAATTATTTCTGATGCAGTTACATACAGTCAAACCTTGTTATTTTGAACTTGTATAGCTCAATGACCATGATTCAAGGAAGAACAAGGAGATAAAAGGTGCTGTCCTACACATTTTGTGATATACCTTAACTAGATGTCCTTTTTTCATCGCCAACAAAATCACTTGTTAAATAATATGATTAAAAATTTACTTTAAACATGCATATAAAGCAATAACATACTTAACAGGCACCAGTCCCCTTACAGTTTCAAGAAATACTATTTGTATCCTTTAAAATTCATTCTCAAAGGTTCACAAAAACCAAGTCAAGCAATGAAAAAATTGTCAATTCTGAGGATGGAAATAAATTAATGTATCAAATGAAAGAACAAAAACCTCCAATATGTTTGTGTTATAGTCACCGCAATACATACCGGTATATATATGGTCCTGGGTTGGGAATTGGTGCCAAGTCCCTGTGACCATGGCCAAAGGAAATATATTGACAATGTTTTGATTTTTCACTGACCTTTATATCATAACTAAGATCACATCCTATCGTTGCAGAAGTTGCTAGGTACAAAATCTTCATACCTCATTCTTACCATATTACATCACCAGAAGTGTCAATATGTAGCAAATAAAAGATTATTTCTCCTACTAAAATGTTCTTACCTTGATGAATGTATGGGCATAGACGATTGAAGTTTCATCACAAAAATGGCAAATAGATGAAAACAGTGCCATACAAAATGGGGCAAAGCATATTTTTGGGGCTCTGGTATAAAGCTGACACAATGTATGTTAGCTAACTCATTGCCTGTTTCAACAGATTAGAGGGGTATTGTTTGTTAATATTGCAGTTCGTTTTGTTGATAATTCACAAATGTTCACAAAGTACAGCATGACGCTTGTTAAGGATAAAACATGCTTTTATGTGGATCTCTAATACAGAAACCTGTATTGACAGGATTACCATTGCTAAAAACTCAAAATCACTTCTCCATTTAGAAGCCCATTTAGGGAGACTGTATACAATATTATGTACAAACCACACTGACACATTTCTTTTAGATTAATTTAAGTAAATGGTTGATCCATTATAGTAACAATTCAACAGTCTAAATCCAAAATGGCAAACTATCAGTATTTTGCTTTTCCAATCAGTCACAAAAGTTAACAGAAGCAACACCCTATTTTTCAAATTTATGAAGATCTCCTCAGTACTTTCCTAGAAATGGTACCAAATTTCAAGATGGTCATTTACAGTCATTTTCTGTTTCCAATCAATCCCAAAATTAAACAAGCACAACTAGGGATCATGGGAGATGAAATGTGAGAATGATTCATCTAGTACCAGGCAAGAAATAGTTATGTCAAAATCGAAGATGGCAACCTGTAATTTATGAATGAAATGTAAGAATGATCCATCCATTACTTATTGAGATAAACGATAACAACAATTAATGACAAACAAACAACAATTGTTGGATAACGAATGACAACATATCAAAAAGAGTAATACGAAAAACCCACTATGGTGGTATAACAAAATTATATTTCTGGTCTCTCTCGTGCATTGTTACCAAATTCCAGGGATACATGTCAAGTTTTACTTTGAATGTCATACAGATAACATTTTAGTGTGTTATGACACAACCTTAGTGTATAATACAACCATATCCTAGCTTCACAATTTCTAAAAATGCTAAAGCAAACCATAATTTACAGTTTTAGATTCAGAGTGATGTCCACACTAAATGTACAATAAAGTAAAAGCCATTCTGCCTTACAGTATTTTTTGATGAAATCAGGAGTTGGGTGTTTTATACATACATAGGAATCAATTCAATCATTATTGCTTTACTGGAGAAGGACATCCCAAAATCACTTGACATTGGCCAGTATCTTCCAAAGTCATAGTTACCTCTGGCAGTGGTATATTCGGTCTGAAGTACATCCAGGCTGTCAAAAGCTGGTATTCGCACTAGTTTCTCAACTGTATTGAACCATGTAAATTTTGACAAAATTATTCGCTCAATATCTGTATGAGTCTTGTCCAGTATAAACCAGACATCACGCCTTGCTTACCAATCACAATGTTATAGTTTATGGGCCACTTAGCATAGGTAGGTAAGTTCTGATTTATTCCTGAAATATTGTGGTCTATGGGGTGCTTTGCACAAGTAGACCATTTCAATTTTATTCCTGAAATATTGTGGTCTATGGGGTGCTTTGCACAAGTAGATCATTTCCATTTTATTCCTGAAATATTGTGGTCTGTTGGGGTGCTTTGCACAAGTAGGTCATTTCCATTTTATTCCTGAAATGTTGGGAACTTAGCATAGATAGATCAGTTCTAATCTAATACTGAAATGTTATGGTCTATGGGGTATGCAGCATAGGTAGGTAACTCCCAATTTATTCCAGAAATGTTATAGTCTATGGGGTACTAACCACAGGTAGGTAACTCCCAATTTATTCCAGAAATGTTACAGTCTATGGGGTACTAACCACAGGTAGGTAACTCCCAATTTATTCCAGAAATGTTATAGTCTATGGGGTACTAACCACAGGTAGGTAACTCCCAATTTATTCCTGAAATGTTACAGTCTATGGGGTACTAACCACAGGTAGGTAACTCCCAATTTATTCCTGAAATGTTACAGTCTATGGGGTACTAACCACAAGTAGGTAACTCCCAATTTATTCCAGAAATGTTACAGTCAATGGGGTACTAACCACAGGTAGGTAACTCCCAATTTATTCCAGAAATGTTACAGTCTATGGGGTACTAACCACAAGTAGGTAACTCCCAATTTATTCCAGAAATGTTACAGTCTATGAGGAACAAACCACAAGTAGGTAACTCCCAATTTATTCCAGAAATGTTACAGTCAATGGGGTACTAACCACAGGTAGGTAACTCCCAATTTATTCCAGAAATGTTACAGTCTATGCGGTACTAACCACAGGTAGGTAACTCCCAATTTATTCCAGAAATGTTACAGTCTATGCGGTACTAACCACAGGTAGGTAACTCCCAATTTATTCCTGAAATGTTATAGTCTATGGGGTACTAACCACAGGTAGGTAACTCCCAATTTATTCCAGAAATGTTACAGTCTATGGGGTACTAACCACAGGTAGGTAACTCCCAATTTATTCCAGAAATGTTACAGTCTATGGGGTACTAACTACAGGTAGGTAACTCCCAATTTATTCCAGAAATGTTACAGTCTATGGGGTACTAACCACAGGTAGGTAACTCCCAATTTATTCCAGAAATGTTACAGTCTATGGGGTACTAACCACAGGTAGGTAACTCCCAATTTATTCCAGAAATGTTACAGTCTATGGGGTACTAACCACAGGTAGGTAACTCCCAATTTATTCCAGAAATGTTATAGTCTATGGGGTACTAACCACAGGTAGGTAACTCCCAATTTATTCCTGAAATGTTACAGTCTATGGGGTACTAACCACAGGTAGGTAACTCCCAATTTATTCCTGAAATGTTACAGTCTATGGGGTACTAACCACAAGTAGGTAACTCCCAATTTATTCCAGAAATGTTACAGTCAATGGGGTACTAACCACAGGTAGGTAACTCCCAATTTATTCCAGAAATGTTACAGTCTATGGGGTACTAACCACAAGTAGGTAACTCCCAATTTATTCCAGAAATGTTACAGTCTATGGGGAACAAACCACAAGTAGGTAACTCCCAATTTATTCCAGAAATGTTACAGTCAATGGGGTACTAACCACAGGTAGGTAACTCCCAATTTATTCCAGAAATGTTACAGTCTATGCGGTACTAACCACAGGTAGGTAACTCCCAATTTATTCCAGAAATGTTACAGTCTATGCGGTACTAACCACAGGTAGGTAACTCCCAATTTATTCCTGAAATGTTATAGTCTATGGGGTACTAACCACAGGTAGGTAACTCCCAATTTATTCCAGAAATGTTACAGTCTATGGGGTACTAACCACAGGTAGGTAACTCCCAATTTATTCCAGAAATGTTACAGTCTATGGGGTACTAACTACAGGTAGGTAACTCCCAATTTATTCCAGAAATGTTACAGTCTATGGGGTACTAACCACAGGTAGGTAACTCCCAATTTATTCCAGAAATGTTACAGTCTATGGGGTACTAACCACAGGTAGGTAACTCCCAATTTATTCCAGAAATGTTACAGTCTATGCGGTACTAACCACAGGTAGGTAACTCCCAATTTATTCCTGAAATGTTATAGTCTATGGGGTACTAACCACAGGTAGGTAACTCCCAATTTATTCCAGAAATGTTACAGTCTATGGGGTACTAACCACAGGTAGGTAACTCCCAATTTATTCCAGAAATGTTACAGTCTATGCGGTACTAACCACAGGTAGGTAACTCCCAATTTATTCCAGAAATGTTACAGTCTATGCGGTACTAACCACAGGTAGGTAACTCCCAATTTATTCCTGAAATGTTACAGTCTATGGGGTACTAACCACAGGTAGGTAACTCCCAATTTATTCCAGAAATGTTACAGTCTATGGGGTACTAACCACAGGTAGGTAACTCCCAATTTATTCCAGAAATGTTACAGTCTATGGGGTACTAACTACAGGTAGGTAACTCCCAATTTATTCCAGAAATGTTACAGTCTATGGGGTACTAACCACAGGTAGGTAACTCCCAATTTATTCCAGAAATGTTACAGTCTATGGGGTACTAACCACAGGTAGGTAACTCCCAATTTATTCCAGAAATGTTACAGTCTATGCGGTACTAACCACAGGTAGGTAACTCCCAATTTATTCCTGAAATGTTATAGTCTATGGGGTACTAACCACAGGTAGGTAACTCCCAATTTATTCCAGAAATGTTACAGTCTATGGGGTACTAACCACAGGTAGGTAACTCCCAATTTATTCCAGAAATGTTACAGTCTATGGGGTACTAACTACAGGTAGGTAACTCCCAATTTATTCCAGAAATGTTACAGTCTATGGGGTACTAACCACAGGTAGGTAACTCCCAATTTATTCCAGAAATGTTACAGTCTATGGGGTACTAACCACAAGTAGGTAACTCCCAATTTATTCCAGAAATGTTACAGTCTATGGGGTACTAACCAGAAGTAGGTAACTCCCAATTTATTCCAGAAATGTTACAGTCTATGGGGTACTAACCACAGGTAGGTAACTCCCAATTTATTCCAGAAATGTTACAGTCTATGGGGTACTAACCACAGGTAGGTAACTCCCAATTTATTCCAGAAATGTTACAGTCTATGGGGTACTAACCACAGGTAGGTAACTCCCAATTTATTCCAGAAATGTTACAGTCTATGCGGTACTAACCACAGGTAGGTAACTCCCAATTTATTCCAGAAATGTTATAGTCTATGGGGTACTAACCACAGGTAGGTAACTCCCAATTTATTCCTGAAATGTTATAGTCTAAGGGGTACTTACCACAGGTAGGTAACTCCCAATTTATTCTTGAAATGTCATAGTCTATATGGAACTTACCATCAATTTGTTATATTTCAGATGTTGACAAATCAGTTAAACTGCCTAAACCCAAGCAGTCTAAGACAGTTACACTAAAAACTAAATTAAAGTCTGCTGGAATAGAGATTTAAAGACATGACATCTAAGAATGCCAACTTGTGGCTACAAATTGGCATATCCTCAACCAATGTGACTGATTAGATGTACATATATTGCAAACATTTATATTTCAATGAATTTACTGTCACCTACAACAGACAAATGACCAGTGAGGCCTATTTGCGCTAATATACAATGTATGAGATGATAATGAAATCAAGAAGACATTTTGGCTTTACCATCGTTCTATGTACACTAAGGTGGACAAGATGTTTGACATTGACAATTTAGTCATCAAAATGTCCAACATACAGTTCCACACAAATTTTTTAACTGGCTATGAACATCTAATAAATATCTTAAAATTACTAACCTGAAGAGAATATTTCATAAGATATGAAGGATGTCAGAGAAATAGGACCAGAAGGATGCATATGGTTATTATTCATATTTTTTTTCCATTAACTAGCAAGTTATAGATGATGATGATGAATCAAAGAAACAACAAACTTATGATAATGATATGTGATAATAATAAATATGGTTCTTCTTCCTCAGTGGAACTTATATATGTACCTGTGGTTGGTTGCAGTGGGTCTTGGTTGGCACAAGCAGCTACTCTAAGTCTTTTACTGACGGGGTTGAAACCTAACCACCCCCAGCCAGAACCTTGGACTGCAGCAGAAGCATTGCTAAGTTCAGTTTTCATAGCTTCAAATGAGCCAAAGTCTTGTTTAATGACATCAAGCAAATCCCCAGATGGTTCCCCTCCTCCGTTAGGGCTAAGGACCTCCCAGAAGATTGAGTGATTGATGTGGCCACCACCATTGAACTTCAGAGCTGGCTGTAATTGGATCACCTGACTGATATTTTCTGCACAAAGGAAAAATAAAATGTGAAAGACTTGATCCATTAATTTCTGACCGCAATGCAAAGAAGAGGCCCATGGGCCTTAACGGTCACCTGAGGACTTCATGTCTTTGGACAGTTTTAGAACCTGTCCATAAGTCCCAGCATTTGTGCAGGCAGAACAGAACTGATATATGCATACTTACAAAGTTTTATTATTGTTTTTAAGTTTGATGGCTTCATTTTTGAATGGAACTGATAACACTCACTGTTGTTGTACTTAAGTATATTTGTCCCATGTGACCTTGAATAAAGATCAAGGTCATTCATTTATACAAACTTGGTTTTCCTTCTTCCCAGCATGCTACATGGCCAATATTAGTACCATGAGCCTTTTTAGTAATTGAAAACAAGTTCTTTTAAAGATTTCAACACATTTGGCCTCTTATGACCTTAAAAGTGAGTCAAGGTCATTCATTTTAATAAACTTGGTAACCCTTCATCCCAGCATGCTACAGGCCCAATATCATTACTGTGGGCTTGGGCTTTTTGGTTATTAAGAAGAAATACAAAATGTCAATAGTTTACGCCGCATGATACCAGACAAAAGGCAATCGCAAATTAAAAACCTTTAATTTAACACTATTTACAAATAGTTTTGTGCAAATTCTGCAAACCATCCTAATGATGTAGGCAAGAAAAACAACATGATTGATCGGCCTCCTGATTATGTCCATCAAAATGATAAGCAGCTTATGAAGATATGTCAACTGACTATATACTCTCGGTTTGTAGAGTAAAATTCATTAGCATAATGAAACACTTTCCATTTCAGATGTTGACAGGCTTGTAAAAGTAAGAATAAGTATATGGTCATCCTTTGTATCAAATTTTAGGTCATTAACCTGCAGTTAATTAAAATGTAATCTGTAAATTAATAGGTGTTTTCATGAACAAGGTACAATATTTATAAAAAATACTTTGAAGAAATCGCTTGAGGATATTATTGTTCTAATACACTACCCTAGAAACCAGCATTCATTTTTATATTTCTTTATTAATAGTTGCAAATAGGATAAAAAAAAACAATGTTTTGGGAAAAGAATTAATACTGATACATGTATAATCTCTAAACTTTTTTCTCTATCCCAGCTGTAATATATGTGGGATGTTTAACCTTACTTCAAGTAATATATGTAACAAAGGAATACTTGGTTCACTGTTGATATACATACTGGTTAAATCATTTTAAATTTCTCAATCTTTACAGCATTCATGTCTTTGTCGTTTACAAACTGCCAAGAACTAATGACTTAATTAGTAGCTGAATACTGGTCTTTTACAACACAATTTCATACCATCATGAATACAAACATCTTACTTGTTTCCGTTGCTTCTGCTAATTTCTCTTCAGCAATGTTCAGGTTGTTGACATACGCAGCATGGTGTTTGGAGTGGTGGAGTTGCATGATCTCTGCAGAAATGTAAGGCTCCAATGCATTGTAGTCATAGGGAAGGTCAGGCAAAGTATGCTTCAGGCGACTCGTCAATGTGCCAAAAGCCCCAATACTTTTGGGAACACTGAAAATTTAAAAACATTATTGAATAATGTTGTTAAAAAGATTTTCAGTTTGCAATCACAAAAAATCAATTACTACTATATCAAATTATTCAATGTGAATTTTATGCCATTCCATTTATTTAGATTTGCAGTTGTACATTGGAGTAGAGAAAACATGAATAAGAAAAAATTGTTCCATATTAACCCAGTCCTCCTGATCTAATGACATAATTTTGGCTCTATTAAACTTGTATTAAAGCTTCAAAATCTGTCTGAAAAAAGCAAGTTTTACAAGATTAGCTGAATTTGACTCAACAAAATAAAGAATTAAAAAATCATGTTTTATATCTGTTGAACCCTTAACCTTTGCCTTCCATGGGCAATTAGGAAAAATTTAATCAGTCTTCTTTATTCAGGCATTGCATTTTTTCCACGTAATTCCAAGATCTCATTTTTAGATATTTGAACTTGAAGTGCTAAGGTAATTTGTGTGTGTGTCCAAACGTGATGAGGCCACTAAATGCCGTTCTCAAATACCATTACACACTGAATTACCTGTATTACATTGCAGTATGCATGTCACTCAATCAAGTCATGGTTCTTATTAAGAATATACTAACATCAGGCTAACCATACAACCAGCAACACTCACTTAAATCTGTTCAAACAAAAAATCCTTTTGTCATTTGTTATTTTGGTATTTATGTACCCCTCTATCCAAAATCCAAACTTTAAACAGAAATCCAAATATGAATATGTATGATCTAACCCTCCAGCAAAGTCTGATTATTGAATAGCAGCATTTTCTGTGTTCTATCTTTTACTGTTTAGTTGATTGTATTTAGAAATGGAAAATAAGAGACAAAGCATTGCATGTAAACTATATACTTCTAAAGAATGTTGGAAAGCATTCATTAACCTGATGGTATGTACCAAATGTTCTCTAAGTTTTAGATGTATGATTTTTAGATGCAGACATATTTTACACACTAGATGTTATTGCAGTTAACGATGTAGATGTAATAGAAAGACTTTAGTGCAGATTCAAATCAATGCAGAAGAGACATCACTTCATGGCCACTGTTTAGATGGACTACCACTTTGGTGTGATTCAGCAGAAGAGACTGCACCTTAAAAGTTTGAAACAAGCATCACATTGGGGTGACCTGGTTCTTCAGACCATCTCTTCTGCTGAATTGCAGCCACAGTTGCTGATCTTTGCTGATTTTTTTATGTCTGTATCTTTCAAAGTACTACATTTTAAAAGTAATTTAACCCTTTATGTCAATTTCAACTATTTCCTTTAGAAACACTGGTGTGATATGGAGGTAATCATTTAATATTTGTAAGTTTTTTATACACTGCTGCATTACTATAATCTATATTGTAATTCCAGGAAAATAATTCTGAAAATTTTTCAGAGGCAACCAAAAGAGCAACATATTTTTTATACGGCCCAATAACAATTGCATCATTGACTATTTTAAACAAATTATTTGTCTGGTTTTTGGTATTTTTGTTTCCTTTTTTTATTTTGTTTTTTTTTTTTTTTTTTGTTAACTCATAAAACTTATCACCTCCACACCACTAATAGTGTGGGTAAGAATTGAATACAAGTAAACTCATGCTCAATTATGGTATTAGTTCTAAATGTTCCAAATGGCTTACAATGAAGTCAGTGGTGGACAATATCGGTGATAAATTGTCGTTTGAACTCAAAGTTGAATGAATCAAGGACTCGGACATATCTTAGTCCGTTGATGAAAAGATCTTATGCAACATTGGATGGAAGACCATGTTAAATAGACGGCGCCAAATTCCACATATTTGTTGCAAATGTTTTTAAAATAAGAAATGCATTTGTTTCTATTTCAAATCGTTCGACATTTGAGAAAAGTATTTATCACTTAAGCCGTAAATGTCATTGTCATTCAAATGCATACGAGTACAATAAATCGTCACGCAAGCGTCAAGTCATTCAAGTGCCCTTCACTTCTCTTCGTCCTTAGTAGTTTCTGAGTAATAATAAGGGTTTAGTTGAAGCCTTACTCACAACCAACCGACAAAAAATTCATGCTTAGCTATATTTGAAAACATGACAATATCAAGTTCGCAATTTAACACCTTTTGATTACAGTAGCTGTAGCAGACAGCATGGTTCCGGTGATCCTCTCAGTCTCAAATGACCTTGACCTATCCGATAGCAAACTACACAAAATAATAACTGTGTATATGTGGAAAGAAAAGATAAACAAAATCGAAATGGAAATAATAGCTAATGAAAGTTGATTTCATAATTATTAGATATAGCTTCTAGTGGAAAATCCAAATGCTTAGCCATTTTAACGATAAACTATTTACTAAAAGCAATAATATTGTTCCCTATTCTTTTATTTGACGAAGTCTAAATTTATATTGACCATTTCAGAAATGTTAAATATTTTTATAATTATTATCAATTTACTACATATGACGATTTCCTTTTTTAAACTATCAAATTTTCGTATGAATTAACTTAGTAAAAGAAATAAGAATTATCACTACTTTTCCCCCCATGCTGCCTTCCCACAATTCCTATGTTAATTACATATGGCGGCCCCCTTGTGTCGATGGACAGTTTGAAACGTCGTTGAAATTTACCTTTGATTGCAGAATTTCATTGTCAGCAGGCGTGAAGAAAGTGAAGGTGAACGGCGATAGTAACATTTGATGATTTCTAAATATCCAATGTTTACAACATACGTTTTGTATAGAAAGGATTCAAGGAAGTAATAAGGCGTGGCGAGCCTAAATTGACGCCATGATCAAGTTATTAGAATGCGTCTATCATCAGTGTATGCAGTATTTAACATCATAGTGCTATTCTTAACATCATTTCCGAATATTACATCATAAAGAACACCGTACATTGTACTCCCGCCATACATCGCGTTCCTGCGGTTTCCTTCTCATTTCTTGTTCGTATATTTGAGTTATTCTGTTACTAAGACTACATCCAACTCTACTGTCATACTGGCACGTTTAAATTCCCGGGTGGGTGATGGTATGCAATAATACGGCAAAAAAAAGTGTCCAGAGTTATTTTATTCGTATTTGACATGAAAGTGCGTCTTTTGAATTCAAGGATAATTACTTGAATGGTTTGTTTTTTTGTTTCTCGGAAATGAGACGTACACGTCAATAGAAAGTGAAACTGCTAATTCAGAAGCAGGTATTGGGCAAGTTAAGTAGCGTTGTGACACCATACTAAAGTTCAACCTTTCTGCATAAACATATTATGTACTGAAAGATCACACATTTACTTTAAGTGCATTAAATCTGTTGGTTGGAAGAAATTTTAATACATTTTTCTGTATCAGCAATCGGGGCATTCAGTTGACCATTGGCATTTGACAATATTAATAATTGAAGTGAATCTTTTCTTCACAAATTATTTCAAAATTTAAAATGTGTATCATGATATTGCATGTATATATCTTTCGTTAGCCATAAAAAGAAACCTTGGTCAAAGTTAATTGATTACTGCTGAAATTGAACTGTGACTGTGTGATTCCATGAGAGGTGCAAAGGTCTTCCAGCTAACCAGACATGATTATTCTGTGTTTTACTGGTAGTCAAAATTAATCATTATGGACATTTCTGTAATTTATAAGATAATCTAAGTAATGAGTACAAGGTAGAAGAAGCTACCCAAGGCATTGAATCAAGTTTATAAAAAAGTATCAAAATGGTGACTGTGATGAAGGTGGTATAAGATGATTGGAAGGTGCTTCTGCATAATGTTATTAACTTAATTGAATTTCACCTGATGGGGACAGGAAATTGTTAGCAAACACTAGCTGTTCATGGTACAGATACAGTCTAAACTTTGACACATAAACTGCGCTTAACTTTTAAAGACACAGATACTGACATAGATTTATTATAATGAAAAATAAATTGATTTTTTTTTCCAGGTTACATTATCAATCATGACAGATAGCCCGCCATCACCTAAAAGGGTAAGAAATTTCAGTTGAAGGAATATATCTCAAGTGCTGAATAATCGAGTATCCAGTTTCCACTCATTGGAGAAAGGGTCTTATCTCATTTTTGGGAGAGAGTTGATCAGTTAGTACATTTAGTTTCATATCCATGCACTGAGTTTATTGTGTGAAGACTACATACATATATACTGTATGCTATATATGGGCACAGGCATTTGATGGTTAGGGCAACCTCTGCAAGAGTTATTCTATGAAAATATTATGAAACAGGCAGGGGTGCCACAGTATGAACAATAACAATAAAACAATAAGAGTTTGATCCCATGAACTCACACCATTTCCATTGCTAATATTATCATGATTATTGATGCATTTGCATACATATCCTTTTCAGGTGAAAATGGAAACAATAGACCTAAATGAACTTACCCGTGAAGAATTGATCAACAAGTAAGCTTATTAGGTTTTTGATTATCAATCAAGACTTTTTATTTCAATTCAGCTGTTTGAATATTCACATCCTTGCCATGGCCAATCATGGCCCTTAAATCTGTCTGTTAATATTAACTTCATTCAGTAAGACACATAAATGGATAAGCTCTATTCATCACACAAGAAATATTTATTATCATAACTTACTTTTGTCAGGGTGAAAGAACAAGAAAAGTATGTGCGGTATCTAGAAGAAAGACAGCAAAGAGGCCGTAAAGGAGGTATGGAAGATTTTAACAAAATCAGACTTCAAAACTATTGCCAATTGTGCCTGTTGCTGTGAATAAGAAAAGGCTGGATGATATTAGTTATGAAGAATAAATATATATTAGGAGACCATATCTGTATATTTCATTGGTTTACATAATTTTATACAGAAAACATTTAATGCATAGAAAGTTATTTTCAAAATTTTCTTTCCCAAGATGATGATAGTGATATGAAAGAGCTTGAGGAAAAAATGAAGCAACAGCTGCGTGATAATATGAGACGGGAGAGCACTCTGGTTCACCGCCTGACCACTAAAGAACAGGAGCTACAGGACTACATTGTATGATATAATTCATTTATCACTTATCAATTTAGTATCATAATAATGAATATCACAAACTAATTTTTCTTAGGAAAGAATAATAAAGTATATTATATAGAAGTGCTTTAGGGGTTAGAACATAATGACCAAAGATCAAAGTTATATCAATATCAGTATGTTAGGTGTTTATTTGTGAAACAAGGAATGTTTTTCAAAGTATCTTTTGTACTTTTGAGGGTAAATTTCCTGATTTTTATAGACAATTCATAATTGTGTCACCTAGCACAGACTTATGTTGAAAATACTGAAATGCGTTTGTGGTATGATTTATTAAGCACTAGTATTGCCACTCTGTTGCTATTTTTATTCTCAGAACCAAATTGCAGAAATGAAACAAGCACAGACCCAAAACTCTGCTCAACTAAGATCAATGCTGTTGGACCCTGCAGTCAATCTTGTGTTCCAGAGGATCACCAAGGAAATGGACGAATCACAGGAGAAACTCAAACAAACCCAAAATGAACTAAGTGCTTGGAAGTTCACACCAGACAGGTGCTTATCACCCCTTTTGGTAACTTTTATAATACTGACCAATTCATTACCAACATGACATGTAAGGCTTCTCAAGATTTGTTTCCATTTTAGTTTGTAATGCCCGTATCAGGTTCGTATTGTACCACTGCAGCCAAAGGTGTTTGATGCGCTCAGGAAAGTGTCCGAAACAGACCGTCGGTCAGTTCCCGAGACTTTAGCCAAACTTTCATCTCGCTGTGGCGTTTTCCGAATTTGAACTCCATTTATTAATTGACACACTTGAGGCTTACTGAACCACATACTATTGGTATGAAGCTGCCAGACCATTAACCAGACTGTGTTCAATAGAGGACAGGAACTGAGCCCCTGCAGTTCGTCCTACTGTTGTTAGGTATTATTTGAGGTATCATCAGTGGATAAACTGCTAATTTCAGTCACTGCCCATAGTGTGGAGTGACAATTTGTCGCGAATCTTGGGACAGAACTGTTGCTGCCACTATCATAATTTACTGTCCTTTTTTGACATTTTGTTATTAACTTCTTATCACTGAGAAGAAACAAACATTCAAATTCAAAATTATCTATTTCTCTTATCAGTAGCATGAACTTCCCCTGGCTTTGAAATCAAAATAATGGAGAGAAATACTGAGATATGACATGACTTTTAGGAAACATTTCTGAGACATAATTACATGTTGGAATTTGAAGATAACATTGCAGTTGATCAAAGGTTTGTATTTAAAATCCTGCTTCATTTTTTGATAAAATGATATGAAGCTATGTTTGGCAGATTGAATATGTTTCTTCGTAGAGACATTGTTGGGGGAAAAGTCTGTAATTATCTCTATCAGTGAGTTGTTGGTTGTAATTTTAGTTTCAGTCTCATATTGATGTGTTAACTTGTCAATAGGAAATTTATGGAGATACGTTGCTTCATGGTCATGATGTAGTGTACAATAAATATACCATTGTATTTAGGAGAAACATCTGTTCATAATATTGAAGAATATTTTCACTTGAATGCCTTAAATTATGAAATACTTTCTTTTTACTGAAATGTTCAGATCTTGATTAGCTGTGTGTTTATTTGTATGTGATTGTCTGCTTTGATGTTTTGCCCATCCAATCTGAACAAAATTACATATAAGGTATTTATAAAAATCTATAGATATGAAATTTACTTCATGTGACATTTTATCATAATTCGATACAGAACTTTCATCAATGTTATTGAAATCTTCATGAAATCTCTTATTGAACACCCACAGAGAACATAAATAGATTTTCTTTTGTTTTTATAGCCTGTAAATAAATGTTTATTTGTTTCTAGATGGGATGGTAATTGAGTATTTTATAATGACTTTTGTTGTGAAGTCTGACTCTAATTTGGAAAATCTGTTTAAATGCAAACCTTATATTTTCTTATGCTGTCTCTTGAGTGAGAGTTCAATCAGATATCTACATATAAGAGATTGACACGGAATTATAGAAATATTTGACAATTTAACTCAATTCAATGTTATCTTTAATGATCAACAGATATTATTTATATATATATATATATATATATAATTTACTTTGCCATATATCAACTGTTGACCATTAGAGTGCTGCATGCCACATTCCACTAATGTTCACTGGTCTTTGATGGATCATATTCCAAACTTGGTGACATTGTATAGAAATGCTAAAATCTTTTTGAAGGTACATTTATCACCACCTAGCTTATTAAGAACTAAACCAATTGTTTGAAGTCAAATACCCAAACTCTGCATGACAGATTACTATCATCTTTGTTCTTAACCTCTAATTATTGTATTTTAAATCATAGCTCAAACCAGATACATGGTACATACTGAGAATAAATTGTAATTAAAAAAATGTCAACCAAAAATGTTAAAAGTCCACGCCTAGGTCCCCTGTATCAATAGCCCACTGCTATGTGATCTGTACCAAAGTCCGCCCCAAGGTCCCCTTTATTAATAGCCCACTGCTATGTAATCTGTACCAAAGTCCACCCCAAGGTAACCTGTATCAATAATCCATGCCAAAGTACCTGAATCAGCAGTCTGCCCCTAGGTTCCCTGTATCAATAGTTCACTGTTATATGATATGTATCACTAGTACAATTTGAGGTGATCTGTATCATCAGTCCAACCCATAGGTTATCTGTATCAAAAGTCACCTCTAAGTGACCTATATCAATATATTACGATACTATGATACTAGTTCCTGTATTGATAGACCTATGATACTAGTTCCTGTATTGATAGACCTACAGTACTAGTTCCTGTATTGATAGACCTACAGTACTAGTTCCTGTATTGATAGATCTACAGTACTAGTTCCTGTATTGATAGACCTATGATACTAGTTCCTGTATTGATAGACCTACAGTACTAGTTCCTGTATTGATAGACCTACAGTACTAGTTCCTGTATTGATAGACCTACAGTACTAGTTCCTGTATTGATAGACCTATGATACTAGTTCCTGTATTGATAGACCTACAGTACTAGTTCCTGTATTGATAGACCTATGATACTAGTTCCTGTATTGGTAGACCTACAGTACTGGTTCCTGTATTGGTAGACCTACAGTTCTAGTTCCTGTATTGATAGACCTACAGTACTAGTTCCTGTATTGATAGGCCTATAGTACTAGTTCCTGTATTGATAGACCTATGATACTAGTTCCTGTATTGATAGACCTACAGTACTAGTTCCTGTATTGATAGACCTATGATACTAGTTCCTCTATTGATAGACCTATGATACTAGTTCCTGTATTGGTAGACCTACAGTACTAGTTCCTGTATTGATAGACCTACAGTACTAGTTCCTGTATAGATAGACCTACAGTACTAGTTCCTGTATTGATAGACCTACAGTACTAGTTCCTGTATTGATAGACCTATGATACGAGTTCCTTTATTGATAGACCTACAGTACTAGTTCCTGTATTGATAGACCTACAGTACTAGTTCCTGTATTGATAGACCTATGATACTAGTTCCTCTATTGATAGACCTATGATACTAGTTCCTGTATTGGTAGACCTACAGTACTAGTTCCTGTATTGATAGACCTACAGTACTAGTTCCTGTATTGATAGACCTACAGTACTAGTTCCTGTATTGATAGATCTACAGTACTAGTTCCTGTATTGATAGACCTATGATACTAGTTCCTGTATTGATAGACCTACAGTACTAGTTCCTGTATTGATAGACCTACAGTACTAGTTCCTGTATTGATAGACCTACAGTACTAGTTCCTGTATTGATAGACCTATGATACTATGATACTAGTTCCTGTATTCGTAGACCTACAGTACTAGTTCCTGTATTGATAGACCTATGATACTAGTTCCTGTATTGGTAGACCTACAGTACTGGTTCCTGTATTGGTAGACCTACAGTACTAGTTCCTGTATTGATAGACCTACAGTACTAGTTCCTGTATTGATAGGCCTATAGTACTAGTTCCTGTATTGATAGACCTATGATACTAGTTCCTGTATTGATAGACCTACAGTACTAGTTCCTGTATTGATAGACCTATGATACTAGTTCCTCTATTGATAGACCTATGATACTAGTTCCTGTATTGGTAGACCTACAGTACTAGTTCCTGTATTGATAGACCTACAGTACTAGTTCCTGTATAGATAGACCTACAGTACTAGTTCCTGTATTGATAGACCTACAGTACTAGTTCCTGTATGATAGACCTATGATACGAGTTCCTTTATTGATAGACCTACAGTACTAGTTCCTGTATTGATAGACCTACAGTACTAGTTCCTGTATTGGTAGACCTATGATACTAGTTCCTCTATTGATAGACCTATGATACTAGTTCCTGTATTGGTAGACCTACAGTACTAGTTCCTGTATTGATAGACCTACAGTACTAGTTCCTGTATTGATAGACCTACAGTACTAGTTCCTGTATTGATAGACCTACAGTACTAGTTCCTGTATTGATAGACCTACAGTCCTAGTTCCTCTATTGATAGACCTACAGTACTAGTTCCTGTATTGATAGACCTACAGTCCTAGTTCCTCTATTGATAGACCTATGATACTAGTTCCTGTATTGATAGACCTATGATACCTTTATCACTTGTACACAGTTTGATGCCTGATTAAGTAAGAAATACTTAGGTACACATACCTTTGGTTTACATTTTATTTATGCCTTTGTTTGCTGCTACCTTTAAAACATTCTATTTTCTTAATGCTTGTTTTAGCTGTACTATTGTGTATGTCTGCCTATATGTAGTTTATAATGTTGTCTGTTGTTTTTTTTAATGGATATCTCCATCTGTATATATTTACAAAAATAGTATGATTAATGGTACCTTAAAAATTCTGTTGTAAAGTTAATTTATACCCCATAAAATGATGTTTATACTGTCACCATGAATTTGGTGGTTTAAATAGAATTTGTCCTATGTGGCATTGAATATCTATTTCTGTCATTCATTGTTTGGGGGTCATGGATTTACATCACTGTGTCGAGGCTTTTATGATGCTAATATCAGTGGAGAATTTTAAAGGGCAGAATGTTGTTCAGATTTCTGCTTCCGTTTTGATCTTTGGTAACATAGATCGAAACAGACATTTGATAAATCAGCTTGTGAACTAAGAGATTCTAATGATGGATTAAAAAAAGGGAACAAAATATTCCATTGTTACAAGACTAAAGAAAAACTAAACAGATTTTAACCAAAAAATTCTTTGATGGTGCTTATATAATAGCTGATCATTTTTGATAATTTGTTTATGTGGCAAAAATAGATTAATGTAATGAAATGATATACAATACTTCATAAACTGAATATAACAAATTGTTCTCATTCCTGGCTTTATAAGAGATGCTTGTTATTATAAAGGTGATGATAAATGCATGTGTGACAGTCATAAAATAGACATTGATTTTACTGTCAGACATGGTGATATATAATTCTGTGATACTTAGATGAAAAAAGATTGAGTTTTTTTTCAGGACAAA